TGTGTTAAAGCTATGCTAACCACATCATCCAGAAGAGCTGCCGGGGTGGGCAAGGCAGCCAAGGCCCAGAGGCAGGATGAGGGAGGATCCCGCTTGAATGATCGGAGGAGGAGACAACTATCTGAATTAATCCTATCAAATGAGGATTAAGAAGGTGGGTGGCACCTATGCCAAGAGCTGGGGAAGAGAAGTGCAAGCTGAGGGAACAAATGTAAAGGTCCTGAGGTGGGAAGAGCTGGCCAGGTATCAAACCCATCAGGCTAGAGGGGCTGCTGTGAGGGAGAGGAAGGAGGTAATGAGGCACTGAGGCTGTGGTAAGTGATTTGGACTTTCCTCCAAGACTAATAGGGAAGGCCCTGAAGTTTAATCAGGTGAGAGACGTGATCTGATTTTGTTTTTAAAGGACCCCTTGGCTGCTACATGGAGTCTGGACTGTGGGTTAGGGTGACAGGGATGCAGATGGACCCTGGAAGAGGCTACTGTGCCATCTGGATGGGAAATAATGAGGGCTGGGGGTGCTCATAGATGAAGTGGAAGATCTAGGATGCACCCAGGAGCATGCCAGTCCCTGCTTTATCTGTTAGACAACCTGCAGCCCTCAGCATGCTGCTCAGGGGATCCTGGTTCACAGCCCAAGCAGGCAAGCTCTGTCCAGACCCCTCAGCTAGGCCTACTTGACAGTACTTCTCCAGACAGAATAAATCCTGTCTGGATTTATTAATCTGTGCTCTCAGCTCAGCTGGACACTCTTGGGACTGAGCCTGGTTCTGTTTTGGGTTCCCAGAACCTGGTAGCAACCTGGTACCAGACTCCCTTCTCACAATCCTCACTCCAACCTGGGCTGGTGCTCAACTGCCACTAATATCCCAGAGCAAGCCCACTGTGCCCCTCTGTTAGGGCAGAGGGCTGGGTGGTGTTCCTACACCTTCTCTCTGCACAGCTCCCCAGATGGGGGACCGTTGTCAACAGCACTTCCTTCCTCTGCTAGAGTCAGGTCTTGCTCATAACCCTCTCCTCTTGCTCCCTCAGGGCTTGTTCCCATGGTCCTCACTAGGCCTTCAATCCTAGGACTCAGTGGTGAGCCCTATGGCCAGGGCCCCACACATAAGTCCACCATTTCCCTTGTGCCCCTCACACTAAAGCTGCCACTTGATCCCCGGGCTGGAAGGATGCCCAGGTACTAGGATAACTATGGGATCAGGGACAGGGAGTGTGGCCTAAGCCTCTGCAACAGTCAAAAGCCACAACTTTTTTTTTTTTTGTCATTGAGATGTAATTCACATTCCATAAAATGCACTATTTTAAAATGTACAATTCAGCGATTTTTCGTATATTCACAAAGTTGCAACTGCCACCACCATCTAATTCCAGAGTGTATTCGTCACCCCAAAGAGAAATCCCATGCCCATTGGCAGTCACTTCCCACTCTTCCTTCTCTCAGCTCCTGGCAAACCACTTTCTGTTTCTATGGATCTGTCAATTCTGAGCAAAAGGCTCAGAATCGTTCCAGGCCACAGACTCCAAGAGAGGCCCGTAGAAAGGGCCACAGAGCAACGCTTCCTCATATCCTTTTTGGATAGAACCAGACTGGTGGTCTTGTACATCTAATCGCCTGAATTTCCCTTGGGAATGCTGCCTTATTATGTTAATTTCAGAATCCCCCCAGAGTCTGGCTCAGGACCAGCTCACTACCCTACCTCTCCACTCCTACCCCATTACAGGTCTCAGAACTGAGAAGAAAACACACACACACACACACACACACACACACACACACAAAGAAACAACAGTTATGATCTAGGCCAGTAACTGCCTGCAAGCCTATGTTAGATGCCTGGCAAACAACTTGCATGGAAAAAGCTTTGACTTAACTTCCCCCTTCCCCAAACAAAGCTTCAAAGAAACCAAATACCAAAAAGCAACTTTTTTTTTGGAAAAAAGTCTCTCTCTGCCCCATGGCAACTGGTTGTCAGTCAGACTTTTGGCTCCTGGCAAGGTTTAAGTCTGCTTGTTTAGAGGCCTTCAGACGTGGTGGCCACATGAACATCCCTCCCACACGTGAGTGGAGATGGTCTCTGGTGTGGGTTTGCCCTGCTATCTATGGAAATCCAGCAATTCATCTTGAACATCTTAGATCCTGAGCACAATTTTTTGTTTGTTTTTGGGGTACCAGGAATTGAATTTAGGGGCACTTGATCACTGTACCACATCCCAACCCGATTTTATATTGGAGATAGGGTCTCACTGAGTTGCTTAGCACGCACCTCACTTTTGCTGAGGTTGGCTTTGAACTCACAATCTTTCTGCCTCAGCTTCCTGAGCCACTGGGATGACAGGCATGTGCCACTGTACCCGGTTTGAGCACAATTATTTAAAAATTTTTTTTAGATTTCAATGGACATTTATTTTATTTATTCATATGTGGTACTGAAGATTGAACCCAGTGCCTCACACATGCTAGGCAAGCGCTCTGCTATTAAGTTATAATCCCAGCCCCTTGAGCAAAATTTTTGACCACCTACATGTCCTCAGAGAGGCTGGACAAAGGATGAGAAGACCTAATTCTAAGACTTGCTAACAAGGCTTGGTAGCATATTTGGTAGTCTGTCCCCCACAGATGGGCTTGATAAAGACCAGCTTTGGAAAAACTCCCATGACAGTTTTTCCTCAGGGCCCTTTCTAGAGCTCCCAACCAATTACAGAAGACTTTTTCCTGACTCCAGACACATTAACTCTTTTTTGTTTATTTGTTTGTTTGGTACTGGGGACTGAACCAGAGGCATTTACCACTGAGCCACATCCCCGGCCATTTTTATTTTTCTTTTGAGACAGAGTCTCACTGTTACTGAGGGCCTCACTAAGTTGATAAAGTTGGCCTCAAACTGTGATACTACTGCCTCAGCCTCCTCAGTCACTGGGATTACAGGCATGTACCACCACACCCGGCCAGACATATGAACTTTGAATTGGATGATAAATATGCTCCAAAGATATGAAGCCAATCTCTTTTGCTTTGTAAAACCCAACCATATTTGAATTGTCCATACAATTTTCTGCATAATTCAAACAACTACTTTTATTTGCTATGTGTTATAACTATCAAGTTTGCTTAAAACAGGATCCCCTATATTCATGTACATTTCCTCACCCTATGTCACTCTAACATAGGTCCCTGCCTCTGTCCTTGTCCCCAGCCCCAAAGAGCAGCTGAGGCCAGGACACAGAAATTCAGTGCCAGAGCCTGTCCTCCCATGTTCCCAGAAACTAGGAGTTGGGGCAGCAGCTGGGTGGGGAGGAGGGTGCAATGCATAGAAAAGCATCTGCCACAGCTTGGGAAAAGACTGGAAGCTGAAAAACATATGTCCCAAGCCAGGTGAGTGGTGCTGATCCTGACTGTGGGAGTCCACCTTCTGCCTACTCTTTGACCAGTGTAAACCAAAGGACACCAAATGGTCTCATGACCCACACCCTTATAGCAAAATGAAGCCCTTCCTGCTCTGGATACTCTCCTGCCACTTGCTCACACTGTAAGAGGAACCACTGCCTTCCCTCTGCTCTGCCATGGAGTCCTGGGAGCTAGCCCAGCCAGGACTGGGGCCTAGGCCTCTTGTCCAGTCATAGTTACTATGGTGACCATAGCCCCAGTCCAATCAATGCATGCCAGTGACTGGAAATGGTGGGTTATGTCAACTGGCCCCAAATCAAAGAGTTTACACCTTGCAGGGAATCCAAAAAAGCAACTGTTCCTGCAGGATGCACGGCTATGGGGACATGACTTTATCAGGTAGCAGGGTGGGGAAGAAGCCCCCTCCCTCATAGACCTGGAAAGAAGAGAATTACCCTTTATATCACAGAGCAGAGAAGTCAAGCAGACTTCTCAATAGCTAACGTGCTTGGTGTACAGAGATGAGAAGGGGTCCAGAGGGCAAAGATTTCATTTCTCAAGTCAGCTGTCTACCAGGTTTTTAGGTCTGAGCTTCTGGAGAGCAGCCTGCATCTGTCTTCTCACCTCCCGCCAGCTTTAACAGGAAATAGCTCTCAGAACCTCCTTCCTCACTCCTGATCTGAACCAGCCTCACAGTCATCCTGTCCTCCTTCTGGGTGGACCCTGCCTGTGGCCCCATGCGCTGGGTTTACATTTGCACCCAATATCAACCTACCACAGACCTCCCCAAGCCTTCCATGCACCCTCATCTCTAACTTGGGTCAACTGGGGACTGTCTGAAATATTAATGTGAATTTTTTTTTTTAAATGCAGCTTTAAAAGCACTCCAAATAGGCTCTTCACCCTTTATCTGGACCGATGGAAAAAAGCATGGTTTGTAATGATCATGAAATTTTTCAGAGCTCTAGGTACTTAAAGGATTTAACTCACAATTCACTGAGCTGGTCCCTTACTGATACCACTGATTTGCAGTACATCTCTGCAAACCTTTCTTAGCAGGTAAGAGACCAAGTATGCCTCCTCAGAACTCACCTGGTGTGTAGGGTCCTCCTTTGGCACAGGCACACTCATGCCAGTAAGGACACATAGTGGAGAACCTTTCTTCTGCACAACCAGAAGATCCCATCAGGTCTCATTTTTCTGCCCATCCCTGAACCCAGGCTCAGGGCTTCCCAGGAGAAAGCTAACTGCAGAGCTCTGAGCTCAAATCACATTAAACACACCAACCTCTAGAGGAAGGTGATCTCAGCTCAAAAGTTGTTCACCCCAGCATCATGCAGCACAAGGACCAGGCCTGCACCTGCTTATGAGTGTGCTGGGAAGACAAAAGCCAATAGCTCCAGGGCAGGGGATGATCCAAGGCAGGCCCTCCTTCCTCCCCCTAGAGTTCTCCTCTTGGTTCAGATCCCACTGGTTGTGTACGAGGAAAAAAGACAACCACAGAACGCTCACATACCTATTTCTTCTAGGCAAAAGTCACTTCTTGCCCATGCCTCACCTACCTGGTCAAAGGAAGAAGCAAGCGCTAGGGACACTGGCTGCTGGGGTCACTTACCAGTGGAGGCTGCGGCTGGGGATGCTGCCCTGCTCCTGAGGCGGGTGGGTAGTGCATGAGCAGATTGAAGGCGGAATAGACAGTCTCTTTGTACATGCCGCTGGAGCACCCCGGGGCCTTCAGGCCTGGAAAAACCACAGCTGGGTCAGATACCAGCCCAGGCAGCTGCTGGGGCTGAAGGCAGTCTGCTCTTGAGAGAAAAAATAAGAATTGCCAAGGGGTCTCCTTCGAGTTTGTGACTTGCTAGGGAACGGGATGCGGGTGTCTTCAGTGCCAAGTTTTGTGGGAAGACCCCGAATCCAGGCCTTCCCCTGGCGGCCCCGAATAGAACCCCCACTCAGTCCTCCAGCCAAGGAACCTTGGCCAACGCTTTCTCCTCAAGGCTGGGGATTAGTCAGTCACCTGGGCAAGAGGGGAGGCGGAGGTGGAGGGGGTCTGTTTACTCCTATAAAGGTCAGGGCACCGGAAGTGACTCGAGCCCAGCAGCGCCCGGGAAACCCGCCCCCCACTCCCCCACCCCCCGCCCTGGCTTCTATCCCCTCCCCGAGCAGCAGCCGGGGGAGGCACCCCCTGGATTCGCTGTTTCCCCATCGAGGCCAGGGCCTCAGCGCGAGGAAGAGGCCGTGCAGAAACTCACCGTCCTCCAGAGACTCTGGAAGTTTGTCCGGGAAAAGTCTCTGCGAAGTGTGCTCCCGTCCCAGAGCCTAGAGGGAGAACCAGAGGGGCCGTGAGGGGCGGCGGGGACCATGGGGCTCAGGGCCGGGGAGGAGGGCTCTGAAGGATGGAGACCCGGAGGGCCGCAGGCGGGAGGGCTGGTCAGCTCGCGCCGGCGCCCGGCGGGGCGACCCCGACACAGTGGGCGCGGGCAGACGCTCACCTCGGCCCCGACCTCGGCCTCGCTGCGTGCTCCGGCGCCGGTACCCGGGATCCCAGAGCCTTCGGCCGCGCCCTCGGACTCATTCACGAGCGACGACTTGAGCTCGGCCAGGTCGCGCTCAGGGCCCGCGGCGCTGTCGCGACTCTTGTCCTGCTCCTCGCCCTCGTCCTGGAAGGCCAGCAGCTCGTCGGGCGCTCCTAGGTCGTCGCCGCCGCCCGCGCCGCCCGCGCCGCCCCCGCCGGAGTCCAGCTGCGGCATGGTGCCCTCCGCCCGCCGGGGCGCAGGGAGCGCGGGGCGCGGAGAGTGCGGGGCGCGGAGCCGGCCCGGGAGGCGGCGAGCCCGGAGTCTGGACCTCCGAGCCCGGATCGCGGCGGGCGGAGCGCGGGCTGACTCCGCCTGGGCGGGCTGTGGGCGCCGGGTAAGGGCGCGGGGCTGAGCGGCTCCCGGAGCCGGCGGGTCGGAACATCAAAGGCGCCGCCGGCTGAGTGCCGGGGGCGGGGCGGGCACTCCGGGGGCGGGCCCCGACGGGGGCGTGGCCGAGTAGTCTGGGTCCGCCCCCTCCTCTCCCCGGAGAGGCCGGGACGCACCCACTAGGCACAGCCTTAAAGGGCTCGCTTTCCGTGAGTGAATCCTGAGTGAGACGTCGGAGCAGCTTAAAGATTGTCACTCTTCTCCTGTAATGTCAGGACCCTAAAGGAAACTCCTGACCCTGCTTTCTCCCTCCACCAAGATATTGTCATCCCGTGTCCAGGTTTCTTTTCCACTTGCGTAGGGTGAGGGTGCCTTGGGACTTGGGTGTGGTTTCAAGTCGCGGCCTTAGCGTGAACTGCGTCTGGGCGCCAGGCCCATTGTGCCCTGTGCTTTGAACTGGGGGTTTTTTAGAGCTTGGGGCCATTCGGAACCCAGGGAACCGTCAAAATTAGGAATTCTCAAAGACCCATTCTCTGCCCCATTCTCCATCTCTATGTCAATCTGGAACTTCCTTCCAGGTTGCCCGCCCACTGTGAGAACAAGTATACAATCCTCACAAATTTATTGAGCGTCTGTTGCATGCGCAGCTCATACATCACACATCTGTAACAAGCCCCTCAACCATGTGGCTCTCCGAGGTGCGAACACAGAAGACTAGGAGGAAGGAACCCCGCCGCCGAACTCCAGCCACCACCACCCAACCACGACTTTCCCAGCTTAGTTCCACACCTAGAATTTCTGTACCCCAAGGACTGATTTCCCAGGGACTTTGAGCAACCACGTGGACCACGGTTTCCGACGTGGGGTCCTTCACCCGCAGCAACTCGATCTGGGAAGTTGCTTTCTGAAGCCCATTGACGATGGTCGGTGCAGAAGCTTCCATCTTATCTACTTGGCAGCTGGAGCCTTATTCACAGGGACCTCCCGTGACTTGGTCTCAGCTCAGCTTCTGCATCTGCAAAAAGACACTGGTTCTTTGGATCGCGGTTTTTTGGGTCTATCGGGGACCAGTAAACTGCAGGTTGGCCCCCAGCAGGTTTCTGTACTGGATTCAATGTAGATGCTCCCGCCTCTTCTAAGAGCAGTTGAAACCGAGGGTATTTGGGGGAGGGGGCATTGAACGCCTCGCCTCTCTGGCTCGGGGCCCCACAGGACCGCTGGCAGCAGTGCAAAGCCGGGCCGGAAGACAGCCGCGCCGCCCCTCCGGGTCCAGGCCCAGCCTAGCTGGCTGCGGATCAAAGAGCTAGGGCCGTCCTTCTCAGTGTTCAGATGCTATCTGCGCCTGCCCAGCGGGGAGCCGCGGCCCCCCACCTCTGGGCTAAGGTGTCCTCCCGTTGGGTCTCTCCAGCCTGCTTCCCCAAGGTGTGACCAAGTGCTCAATTGGATCCCGGTCCCTCTATCTTGCGGGGAGGGGCTCCAGCCAAAAACCGCCCTGCCTGGAGAGCACTGACACATGATCTCCCAGCCCCTCCACCCCCATCAACTACCCAGGTTGTAGGGTCTGGCTTTAGGATGAACCTCCCCTAAAAGTTGAACGGAAATAGGTATCTGCCTAACCCTAAGGCGTTTGGGGTGGGGTTAGGGGGGCTTCTGTGTTTGTGGGTGACTACAGCTTAGGCAGAACCGCCTCCTGAACAATTGGTAAGATCCCTGAGGTCTCAGTGGACACAGGCCGGTGGGGACTGAAGTTTTCTCCAATCCAAGGAGAAAAGAAAGAATTCAGAAGGGGCAAGTGAGGTGTGTCCTTTTTTTTTTTTTTTTTTTCCTCAAGGGTAAATTTTTTTCAGTTTGGTATTAGCCTTTAATAAAAAAAATTACGTTCTTTCTGCTTTATTGGTGTGAAAGCATCCTTTCTTTACTAAAATGATGGTGAGAATATATTTTTTTAATGACCTAATTTGGCTAAAGAAAAATGACATTTTTTCTGATCTGTTCACTCCCCCACTCTCAAGTTTTTTTGGATATTTTATAGGGCTGTGAAATCCCTAAGCCGGGGGAATGTCCGCCCTCTGATGTCCTGGCTTGGACTCCTTGCCTTGCTGGGAGGAACAGGGGAGGGGGAAGGAAGAGTAGGGGTGTGAGGAGGGGTAATGCAGAGAGGAGGGCTGAGTCACAGGCGTTCACAGCCTCGCTGAGATCAGTCTGAAAGCTCACTGAGGGATCAGCTACTGTGCTTAGCCCTAGGCTCAGGCTGAGGAGTGGGGGGGTAGAAGTGCCTTCTGGGAGCCACAGGCTGCTTTGAGAAGTTGAGGACTTGTCAGAGCTAAGCTGGGGGCTGGATCAGCCTGTACAGAGTTGAGTGGCAGGAGTTCCAGTGGGCTGAGGCAGTCAGGGTGGCCTCCTAAAGGTGGTTTCCATCGGGGCCTAGAATGCCAAGGAGGAGAAGAACAGGAGCTTAGACTTGTTTCCCAAAAGGCAGGTACATCCCCATAGGAGCCCTTGGTCAGCACCGGTTCCTTTATCATTCCCTTATAGTCATTCAAACAATGACCCCATATACTGAGTTAATACTATGTGCAAGGCATCCTGCCAAGTGCTTCACACACATATCTCATTTAATCATCACACCAACCCTGTGACATGAGGACTATTATCCCCATCTTACTAATGAGGAATCTAAAGTTCAAAGAGTTTAAGTAAATCCCCCAATATCTCACAGCTTAAAAATGAGGGTGTCAGAACTCCAAACTCAGGCAGTCTGACTCTTGAGCCTACACCCTAATGACCATACTCCAGTATTCCATTATGGCCCTAAAATTCCAAAGGAGTCCTTATCTGCTGTGTGGTCTTGGCAGACAAATGATGATGAATGAGCTGTCACCAATATAGAATCCTAACTTTCTGGGTGGCTCTCGTGGCATGGTGGGGCCATCAAGAAGATTGGATAATCCCCCTGGATGGTATATATGGGTGGCCCAAGCCCTTGTTGGGGTTAGAGAGCCCAGAGCCTCTCCCTGAGCCCAGACCCTAGCCTGTGCCATCTCTCCTGGCTGCCCTGGGCTACCTGTACTGGTCAGTGACTTAGATCCCAAAGACCATGGGCCCTGGAGTTCCTCCACAGGGTGGTGGTTGAGACCTGCTGTGGCTGCCCCCTTGGAGGTTACAAGCAAGTTTCAAATCCACCCAGAGTGGTCTGGACTCATTAGTCAGGTCAGAGGTGTGTTTTATTAAGGCTTCATCTTTATGCTAATTAATCAGGCAAACCTGACTTTCCACGGATGTTGGATAAAGTACGAAGTCAGGACCCTCAAGGTTTGAAGGTCTGAGAAAGAAAGCTCCGGCTTTGGATCTGGGCAGACGGGTGTTTCTATCCCTGCCCTGCAATTTACTGGCTGTGAGATCCCAGACAAATCACTGACCCTCTCTTAGCCTCAGTTTCCTCCTGTGTGAAATGGGTGTTGTATCTGCCTTTGACTGTTGGCATGAGGTTGAGGCAAATCACCGTATCCTAGTAAAGAGCTCAGCACAATGTCTGGCACATTTCAAGCGCTCTAATAAATAGGTGCTCTTGAGCTAGATATTTTTCGGAAGTTGTTAGGCTAATTGGCTCTTCATGTAACGTCATGTAAATCATCTGAATGTTCTCATGGCCTAAGCCCACTTAATCATAGCTAAAGCTGAAAATATACATTTCCTTTCCTTTCCTTTCAAGTTCCTATAACATGAAAGGCCCCCATGAACTCTCTGACCTTTTTTTTAACAGGGAGAACCTTGAAATGTGGCATTTCCAGAAAATGTCTCAAAGGAGACCCAGATGGATTTAGTAAATTATAGCAGGGAGAGGTTCCTAGCAGCGTCTCTTCCTGCCTGCCAGCCTGCCTGGCATCCTGTTGGGACTTGCCAAAAGAGGCCTAGAGGCCCGGCTGCAGGCTCCTATAAGGCTTCCCGTGGAGTGTCTCTCTCAGGGCAGAGTCGGGTCACAAGTCCCAGAGTCAGTGTGGTTTGTTGCTACAAACACAGTTTGCTCTCTAGAAACTGTGTGCTTGAGTGTGTGTGACTGGGTGGCTGGGACCTGTATGTCGGCAGACACATGATGGCTTTGATGCAACATCCAATGACCATTTCTTCCTTTATAAAGAAGAAGGGGAACCTCTGTAGGTCTCTTCTCCCCCTCCCCCTGTCCCTCATATTTTATGCAATACCAAGACTTACTATCAAAATTAAAATATAACAATGAAGCTAGAAATTAGTGTTTCCTGATGAAACCCCAAGAACATTTGGCCAAATTGGCTTGAGGAGAGGGGGAATTACAAGGAGATCCACTCTGTAGGTTCAGAGAGCTTGTGACTATTTCCCACACTGTACCAAACATTGCCCAATGAATGGGCCTAGGGTTCACTTACCAAAAGGATAAAACATCTTTGATTTCCACAGGAAGGGGTTTGGAGTCAGAGTCACCAAAGTAGCTGGCGTAAAGGTGGTCCGGGAGTGGCTGTCAGGTGCCAGGCCATCAGTGTTCATTGGTCACCCAAGAACACCCAAACCACCACTGGCTGTCGTGCAACTCAAGTAAATCCTCTGCCTTCTCTGGGTCCAGAATCATCTAGAACTGCAAGGGTCCCTTACCTAGTTCCGGGTGAAGGATATGGAGAATAAGTCCAAGGACATTTTCCCTATCTGCAGCTCTTCCCTTATCCGCAGGGTCCAAGTAAAATTAAATCCCAGGCCTCAGCCAGAGTGAAGGAACCCAAAAGGTTCTACACCTAACTGGCACCTTGACCCCGCCCCATCCTAACAGGTCTGCTAACTTCAATACAATAAGCCCCTGGAAATTTTCTATTCACATTCCTGTCCTACCCTAA